AGAGTTTGATCTTAGTCTGTATAAATAATTACAGATGTTAAGACTCTAATTGGTTCATCTGAGCAGTCGTTAAAAGTCATCTGAACAAAATAAGACGTGGAAAGTTTTATTGCAGCATTAATACTTATAGATCACTATGGCCTAAGTATTCTCGAAACGATACGATCTTCAAACCTTCAAAACTGGAAGAAAGGCAGTTCATTTGCACCATTACAGAAATTATACCAAGGAATATAATTTGCCTGCCTCGTTGGCCGAGTGTAACTGCCGGGCAAGGGGTCTCGGGTTCGATTTTCGGGCCGGGCAAAGTATTACTGGGTTTTTAAAAAACATCTCAGTAGTAGCATGGAGTCATAAATTGTGCCCGGTATATGGCAATAGGCTCACCCTCTATTATACCTCTATAGGACTCGTAACTTAATAGTGAAAAGTGGGTGTTACATTGTACAGTGGCATTAAGGGCCGTAATGTGTACCTACTCCTTCGAGGATAAAAGAAATGATGTTATGTAAAAATTGTTAAAAAAAAAAAAACAGAACAATGTGCACGGAGCAAAAAAGCCAGTGCCCAGCTTAGATGCCGTGACTCGAGCAGAACGAGCATGGTCCTTCTCAAAACACTGGCAACGCACTTGTAAGTCTTTTAGTGTTGCGGGTAGGGACAAATGTCACATAGCTGATTGTTTACCATCAGGTGATCCTTTCTCTTTTGCACCTATCCCATAAAAACTGTCGCGGAGAACCTAACGGGTAACCGGGGCTCCGACTCGACGTGCAGGAGAAGGAACGGGGTGGTTTTTAGTCAGTAAGAGTCTGACACTCCCTCCCGCCACACCCAGGCGGGAGCAGTCATTCGATGATTTTCCCCCCTTAAAAAAAAAAATAAAATCCCATGAAAACTATGCCTGCTTTCACTAACCTGTTCTAAATTTTAATCCCTAACCCAAGGTAGACGTTTAACGAATTGATTTTATCCATAAGTGACACCTACCAGTATAACTAAGGAGTTAGTTTAAGTGCTACATCATGCTAAGTAACTTTTAGTTAGGGGTGGTTGGTAGAAACGACCGTTACTCTCCTGAAATGTGATTTCACCAAGCTTAGAAGGTAAAGTTAAAAATGTTCAATTAATAATATCATGTTACCACCAAGTTGGGCTTCGGCTCGAAGTGCTGGAGTAGGAACGAGGTGGTTTTTAGTCAGTAAGAGTCGGACACTCCCTTTCACCTCACCCGGGCGGGAGAAGTTTAGAGGAGAAGCCTTCAATAAAAGAGCGTATTCCTTTTTAAATGGCCGGCAACGCACCCGTGACTCCTCTGATGATGCGGGTGTCCATGGGCGGCTTTGATCGCTTACCATCAGGTGATCCGTCTGCTCGTTTCCCTCCTATTCCATAAAAAAAAGAAGTCATTCGATGATATTCCCCCCTCAAAAAAAAAGGTGATTCTTTTATTAACTGCACGACAATGACATTGTATTTTTCACCCTGGTCATCAATATTGTTATCACAATTAATCGGTAAGTCAACGGGAATGTGCGTGAACCTTATCATTGCTTGAAATGATTAATTAATGCTACTTTATTTTTTTTAATTACAAAATTAATGAAA